TTACACAGGAACATACCAGGAGCTGCTCTTGAAGGAGGAGCAACTTTCAAGGCACTGACCTCTTTGCAAAGATGCAAGGATGTGTCCCCTTATTATTCATTAGATACTGTCTGTTCTATGTTTTAAAATGTACAGTGTTACGTGGATGCAGATATTTTCTTTTATTTTCCCCTTTCCTTAAGCTGTCTTTTCTAATCATTCCAGTCTGAATTGTACTTCAGTTTTTATATCCTCTCAACCCTATTGCTGGTTACAATGACTGCCAGGACTGTGTGGGCTTGTTCCAACCTACAGGTTTGGGAGACTTAACCTCTTCATTAAATGTTTCAAACTAACTCACTCCCTGTAAAATTGAAGGTAGAAAAAAGTTTTAAGTCTTTCATGCAGACTCATTATTCTCTTCTCCTCAATTGTAGTACTTGTCAGATGCATTATACATGAATAAACAGATTTTTAGACAGCTCTTCAGATCAAAAAGCTCACACAGCTTCCCAATGTGAACAGGATTAATCTCAGATAATTACTATATCCATTTATGATGACACACAGATCTCATTAAACAAATTTAGGAATGGTAGCTTTCCTAAAAAGAGAGCTCTGAAAGAACACAAAATCAGTTTGAACTAACAAGTTTCCGTTCAGTTGTTTTCACTGCTCTCTAGTTTATTCCACCCCTTTGTGATCCACAGAGCAGTGTGCCGCAGCAAGCAGAGTGAGAGGGAGTACATGGCTTTTCTTCATTCATTAAGGAATCCTTGGCATGGCAAGGCAAAGCAATGCATATTCAAGTCCTTTAAGCCCTAAATGCCTCTTGATGTCTAAAGGACAAGAGGACTCTTAGAGAATCTGAGAATTGTGAATGCTGAAATCTAGATTTATATCTGTTTGGTGATTGTGACAGAAAGGTTGTTGCCTAGCTGGTAACCCGGTGGGGGTACAGAGGGCAGCACACAGTGCAGAGAATTCAGAAGCATCTGGTCTGTTGAACATGATGGCCTCTCTGCTCTAGGAGCAGAGCATGCTCTAGGAACAGAAGAGCTTGTCCTGAGTGCTGGTTTTCTGCTGCACAGTCTACTTTTTTTGCTCAACACACCATGGCAATTGAAACTTCCCATATCGTTCTGTTTTAGGCATCCTCTCGCAGTCTGAAACTGCAGTTTCATTTTTGCCTTCCAACCTTCTGCTAATTGTAGCTTAACAGTCTTCTCTTAACATCTGCGTAATCAAACAAGTCCAGCCTGTAAGTCAAATCCAGCCTGTCCGATGATTTGTACAGGAAAAAGCAGAGGAGGCCCCTCTTCCACTTGTTGGGATCCATAAAGACAGATGCTTGATTTAAGACAGATGATTTTCCTTCTAAGCTATTTGTAGGTATATTTATTTGTGAGAGATGTATAATAATAATCAGAACAGTAGCTGTGAAAGGGGAAAAGTAAAATTGCAGAACTTGCTAAAACCCACAGGATGCTCTCAGTTACCAGGCACACCAGCTGTTAGGCTGTTTTCTCACTCTTCATACCTGAGAAGCTCCCAGCAGTGCAGTAAGTAAAGTAACATTATTTTTTGTGCTTCCCCTCTGGATATTAGTTATTACAAGCAAGAGCTTTCTTCCCTACCAAGCAGCTTGAAAGCCCTTTTTCTGTAACCCTACTTCCCCAAGCAATATGCTTTGCAAAGGAGGCAGTCTGAGAAATCATCCACAGGCTTGGTGTTGACATGCTGTGCTCAGCTGACCATCCCCAGGCAAAATGAAGGGTGCTCTGCCTTTAATTGAAGGCTTGACAAGAACCGTAGGCGGCTCTGCAGCTTGTATGGCAACAGCTGTGTGCAGGCTTCTTATTTTTTGTCTGTAAATCTAGAGCATGTGAATTCAGAAGCCTAAACATACTCTGAAACCCTTGAAACTCAAGAACAGTCTTACTGTAAGTTTAAATATATTTCCCGTTTTTATTGCAATATGAAACACCAAAACCAAAAGCCTGAATGAAATAGTAGTAAAACTCTGGTCCCTCTGCAAGTTCTTGCTTTGCAAACAAAGAGTTATTGTGAACTGACATTTAAACTAAGTTAGACATTTGTTCAGTTCCCTA